AAAAATTATTATGATATAAAAAAGTATCGATGAGATGTTTTTAAATACCTAAAGTGTATTCAATGGCTTTAGCAAATTGCTGAGTAAAGGAAACAAGAAAAGTAGAAAAAAGAAATTAAGATAATTCCTAGGCAGGCTGGTAGTATAACAGGCACAGTATAATGCAACGTGGTTAAGTATATTGGGTGATTCTGGAGGAAATAGTTATCATTTCTTATAATTGAATAGGTAGGTGACAGAAATGCAAAACAGTATTAATACACGAAAAAGATTCCAAAGGGAGCTAAACGATATTTAGTTTTCTGCATAGTTAATAGTTCTGAATAGTACCATTTTCAAAATAGAAAATCCAGAAATAAATCCAGCATACACTTGAAAATTCAATGTATGATAAAAGTAATCTTTCTAAGCACAAAGAACAGATTATTTAAGGAATGCTCCTGGCAAAAGTGGCTATCCATTGAGAAGAAAATAAAATTGGATCCTATTATCTCATTTCATTTACAAACATCAGTTTGAGTTTAATTAAACATAATCTAGAAAATCTAGGATATTACATGATACAACCTAGGGATAGGTAATACTGTTTTAAGCTAAGCTAGAAACCCAAAAGTTATAAAAATTACAGACATGTTTTACCATATGAATGTATCTACAGCAAAAGATAATAAATGGCAAGTCAACAGACAGATATAGAGTTTAAAAAAACACTGAGAACCCAGAACAGAGTAGTAATACCTATGACCCTGAAAAAAAAAAGGATAAACCACCAATATAAATAGGGATTTAGAGAAAAAAGTACTTTTGATTGAAAAATTAAGAGGAATATGTATATTGACATTTGATGCTGTTTTACAAAACATAAAAATCTCTACATGAGTATTTCTCTCTCTGCACCTGTGTGTTAAATAACTATTCTTTTAACACTGTATGACTGTGCAGAAAAAATGCAGAAGGATACTCACTAATTTTGCAAGAATGCTTATGGAGTAGGAAATGAAGGTGGGAGAGCTAAATTAAAAAGGAAAAGAAAAGGGAAGAAAAGAGAAAAAAAGAAAAGAAAAGGAGGGAAAAAAAAGCAAAAGAAACAGTCTACTAAAATAGCTAGTATGTATAATCACATACATACATTGTTATAAAGTTCTACACAAGTGTGGACATGAAAAAAAAAAGAAAAAGATTAAAAAGGATGTTGCAACCAGACTTGCCAGAGGGCATATCCAAGGAATTTATATCCGTATCAGTATTTAGATGTGCTTCTGCTTGCAATCTCACAAAATGTAGTCCAAAGTGGCCGTGGAGGCAGAGTATAGTCCTTGATTATTATCAATCTGAGGTTGTATGTATGTGTTCAGCTTGACTGTATTAAAGAAACAGGGGTAAATTCAATCTGGTTTTATGGTTTACTCCAGGGGTCAGCAAACTTTCTATGAAAAACCAAATAGTAAATACTTTAGGTCATCGGGGCCATATCATCTCTATCACAACTACTCAACTCTGCCACTGTAGGCTGAAAGCAGTCATAGACTGCAATGGTTAATTTTATGTGTTAAGTTGGCTAGACTAGAGTATCAAGTTCTTTAATCAAATGCTAATTTAGGCATTGTAGTGAAGACAGGTATTGTATACAATTGGTTGTTTCTCTGGAGAATCCTGACGAATACACAGACAATATATAAACTACACGGACAATATATAAACTAATGAGCCTGGCTGTGTTCCAATAAAACTATTTACAATAACAGGTGGTGAATTAGATTTGGCCTGTATACCATAGTTTTCCAACCCTTAGTTGGATAATAATAAAAGATTGCTGCTTTTATTAAAAACTCAAACGTTTTAGGTAGTGTGAACAGTGCTTCATATATGGATTCTAAGTGTCCTATAAACTGAGAATTATTCCTGACCAGGCCAGATGTTCTGGATCAGCAATGTGAGCAGCAATGATCTTCCTAGAACCAATGAGATCTAGACCATAAGCTTAAGTTTAAGAGTTTCTCAGAGAAGTTTTATCTACTGGCTTTGGGGATTGAAAATTATTGCTGCTAATCCAACAGAATGTCTTACATGCTCATTTATTAAATATGGCACCTTTCAATTAAAATTGGTAAGGGGAAAATTAAAATTCACAAAATCACTATCAGGGGGTTTATTATTTTTAAAATAAAAAATTTTTTACATCAAAGATTTACAGCTTAGAAGGAAGAGTCTTCAATCTATAGACTTATTAAATAATAACAAATACCATATTTTTAAATTTACCTGTAAGTTTAAATAGCAAATCCTCAATTTGGTTGATACCACAAGGTTCCCTTCTCCAGAGATCAATAAAATTCCCATTGAAGAAGAAATTGTCATCCTTTATTTTCAATTCAGGGACCTCCCTATAAGCACTCTTATCTCATTTCCACGTATTACCAGTTGTTTCTCAAAAGTTTAAGAAATAACCTACATTTTAAAATGATTTGATTTACAAAAAGCAAATATAACTATATCTTTTCAAGATCACATTATTTATGCATAATGAAGAATATCTATAAAATTGCCCTTGCTATAGAGAAGTTTCTTACGTTACGTTGTGAATGATAAAAAGTAGGGAGAATGGGAACTTTGAAATTCAGTATCTGAAAGAGAATTCTAACCTATTAGGTAGTTGAAGAAATATTTAAGCATAAGAGTAAAGGGTTATTATGACCACGACCAAAGATTGATAAATTTATAAAGTAGAAGGGGGAAAATTAGTAACAGTAAAGAAGACCTTAAATTTAGAGAAGTCAAGTTCAAAAATGGAAACTAGTATGTTGGTGTGCCAAGAGGTGAACAAAGATATTTAGATACAAAAAGGAGTGTTAGAGTTGGTCATAAGGATAGAAAGATCAGCAAAGGTAGGTCAAGTGGGGGAACTCTGTGCAAAAAAGGCAACCATGGGGTCTACATTGGTCAGAACAGCTCTAATTTCAAGTATTTTGCCTGTCAAATCATCAGTCCTGATTTTAAGTTCAGAAAATATAGTTACTATCGTACCTACTTGTATCTACACTTCCTATCAAATTGTCTTTAACACAGAAAATCTCAGTATTTGCTGATAATGATAATTATCTGGAAACTCAAATCAGAGAAAGTACATTGAAAAACATTATCAACTAATACTTCTTAAAGAATAAAAACATACTTATTTGTGGCCTTTATTTACTAGAATCAACAAGAAACTGGAGTCTGAAAGGTGTTTAGCATAGGAAATTGGTGTCACACTCACCTCTGCTGATATTATCAGTGTTGGGTGGGGATGAAGCCATAATCTGCCAAAATCTGAACCATCCTTGCCAGGTTTGGGGGTACTGTAGAAAAATTACCTCTACCAGGTCTAATTGGTAGCTCAGCAAAATGGTGCAGTCATTCCTCTTCACGTAGAATGTACTTAAGAGGCTGTTTAAGGGACCTATGTAATAAGCCCCAGAAAGATAATATTAGTAGTGATTTAGACATAGAATGTAGCTAACAATTATGGAATGTTTACTATGTTCCGGAAACTGATGCATTTTCTCATTTAATCCTCTCAACAACCGTATAGGTTATAGGTACTGTTATTAACCCAAGGTTAAGGAATTGCTCAAGACAACAAAGGAAGTAAGAGGCAAGGCTGATATTTGAATCCATGCAGTCTGGTGCTTCAGAGTGTGTATACCCATAGTCACAATGCTACAGGTTTACACTCAGACAGGCTGGAGAAAAAAAAAATCAGTTTCCTATAAAGGGCAAATTAATTTTCTCAAACTTGATCTCTATCCACTTTATCCCATATCAGATGGTTAATCTTCAAATCATATTTTAAAGTTACACTGGCATTTATGTGCCAATTTTAAATAATAATAATCTGTAATATTTTACAATTTACAATAGTGAAAATGGACAATCTGTTAGTCTCCAAGACACAGTGAAATAGGGATGATACTGACAGTGCACACCCTTCAAATGAAATGACAAAGAAATAATATAAATTTCATACTTCATTTATTAATTTTATTTAGATCTAATGAATTGCTTAAAACAACCTAATTAAATAGGTCAGTTTCCAAATCAAGTGCCATCAGTATGCCTCCAAGTTTCAGTAACTTATTTTTATCGGTGAAGTTTCGTTTGATACATTATTCAAAGCCTACGTTATCATCTAACTCCACAGAAATTGTGGCTTTTTCCTCTAACCTATTTCTTTTTATTCATTAGTATTCATTTACATCTTGGTTTATCACATTTACAGTGTTTTAAAGTTTCTTCTCATTCTCATCAGACCATTTACCTCACAATTTTCCTCCCTCTTTTTTAAATGGATGCATTTTTACTGTAAAACCTGTAGCTACACTACCAAAGATTAGTATCACGATTTTAAAAGACGACTGCAAAAGTACACCACCAGAAACACTGAATCACCACGAAGAACGAACAGTCCCGGATAAATCCGCTCTAACCCTTAAAGTGGAGGGCTCGCAGCCATCACATAGGGCAGGCAGGGAATGGGAGGAGGGGAGGTCGGAAAAGGCAGTGTTTGATTCAAGTCAGTAAACGTTCACTGCGCCACTCACCAAGCGCAAAAAAAAAAAAAAAAAAAAAAAAAGATGGGCGGAATTTCAAGCAGTGGGCCTGGCAGGTGTGCCGGGGGGCAAGAGCCTGTGGCGCGGACTCGGGCGCTGAGCAGCGGCAGGGTTGGATCGCCCCTCTCGCCCTTCGCCAGTCAGCTGAGGGCGGCCAACTAGGGCCTGGCCTCCAGAGCCCGGCTCCCGGGACCCACACTCGTCGGCCCAGCCGCCAGCCCGCCGGCCGACCAGCCGCAGCCGCTTACCGATGGCGCCTCGCTGCCTCCCCGGGGGCAGCCCTTCAACGGTTGCCGCAGTCAGAGCACCACCCCGTGGTGGGGTACGTCGAACCCTCCCGCAGCTCTCGGATCCACGCAGCGTCCCCACTCTCGCGAGAAGTCGGCGGAGTACGCGAAGTGGGAGGAGGAGAAGGGAGGGGCATTTAACGGTGGCGGCTGGTTCTGCGCCGGATTCGGGAGAGGGGCGGGCGCCATTGTGCTTCTCTTCCTACTTTTCTGCCTCGGTTAGAGGCCTAGAACTCCAGCAGGAAGGCGGTGGTTTGATCGCTGGGAGCGGGACGCGCCCTGTTCAGTACCAGCTCGGGAGCGAGGGTAATAAACTGCGGAGCTCGGGCTTCTCCGTCTTAGGGAGTTGGTTCTAGTCAAGGCCGCTGGTGGGGGAGGGGAGGAAACGAAGTGCAGGCCTGGGGACGCCGAGGCGGCTTCCTTCCTCTCGAGATGGGCGGAGGACCGTGATCCGGGACCGCGGGTACGAAGGGGGGCTGGGCGCAGGCCTCCTCTGCCGGTGGCCTTTCGTCCGACGGTGGAGTTTGTGACGGGTGGAGGGGGCAGGTTGTGCGTCTTCTTTACGGACGAGCGGCGGGTCAGGGCAAGGGGCTTGAGCCCTATTTTGGTCTTTGGCGGCCTCCTCTTCGATCCTGAGCCCTGCCGGGCAGTGTCACGAGTAAGGTATTTAATGAGCGAGCTATTGACGGCGGGGGAGGCTTTGGGTTCTACTTACCCAGCCTCGAACCGAAAGGACTTTGCCAACCTTAGATGAAGTAGAGATTTGCTTATTGATGATCGTCCCTGTTTTTGATATGCGTAATACTTTTGGATTTCTTTTGTATTGTGGTAAGTTGTATGTTCCTCAAGTTGAAATAGGTGGTGGTATGTATAAAAGCGGACCTGTTGGCGTAAGAAGTAAGAATATGAAAGACACCAGTAATAGAATACAATACTCCCTCATTTTGGTGAAACTGCGTAGTGAGGAAGAATGTGTACACACGCCAAAAATACTATACATTTTTCCCCTACGTACAGATGTAAATATATGGAGAACATCTCTGTCTTGGTAAAAACTTCATCGTGACTGATGTTTACTATTTAGAGTGAAGGTGCCAAGTGAAATCGAATTCAGTAAGTTTTTTTTTATCGGTTTTGTAGGATGTTTTAGGTATTTTTCTTTTTTCACTAGTAAAATAATTTAAAAATCTCCTCTTTTCTTGCACCCATCCATCCGTTTCTGTGTAGAACTAAGAGGTAAGGTTAAAGATGAATTTTTGATTTAAAAATCAAACGGTATACTGTTGTAAACAAAGAAGACACACAGTGTAACTAGATTTTTTCTTTACGTGAGCTAAAATTTTGTTGAGAAATGGGATCTATATTTTATTTACAGCTCTACAGCATTTTGTGAAACAGTGGTGTATGAGGCACTAGAGGCACGAAGATCTGGGTTTAAGTCTTGATTTCGCCAGTTATTTAACCTCTTTAAAATTCCTTAGAAGCATAGCAGTTAATTTCTAGAGTTGAGGTGAGGGTTAAATTACATAAAGTAGTGTGTAGCAGTCAACACATAATACTTGCAGAGTGAAGTTTTGGTGAATATAAACAATTGGAGTTGATAGTAAAGTCAAGTTGTTTGTATTTGTGCCTCCTGGTCAGAATTTTAAATTTTCCAATTTTACTCTCCGTGTAATACGTCCCTCAGAGTGCTGACTTCTTCTCCAACGCACAGTAATACATATTTATGTAAGTTCTGTACTACAGATATTTTTAGGTAAGAATTTTCCACAACTCTTCTTTTGCCCTAAACTATACCACAGGTGTAAGCATAGTCCTCTGAGTTTTTTCCAAAATTGCAGCTGGGAACTACTGGGTCAGATGTCTTGAATAAGAATTATTAAAAATTACTACTTACTTAAATACAAGTGATTTCTTTTTCTGCCACGTTGACAAGAGAGCTTAATTTCCCAGAAAACACAAAGATGCCCCTGTATAGACATGCCCGTATACAAATGTTCTACATGAAGTTCTCAGATGTGTGAACATTGAAAAGTCATCCATTGCCCCAGTTTTTAATCAGCTCCATATCCGTTTCAACACAACTCTTCATTTAGTATATGTTAAGAATTGCCTGCTTAATTTTAAAGAAATAATTTTAATAGTGCAAAACTATCAATACAAAACACTTATTGATAATTTGTTATTTGTTATGTTTTAGCTACTAAATTAGGGCTTCACATCTTTACAAGAAGGAGCTTGACACAGCTTCTGCCTCCACAGTTCACAATGTAATCATCAGACTAATGTGTAAACAAAAACTGCTTTTATCTTAGCGTTTAAGTGTATGAATATACTGTGGGAGTGCAGAGGATGGGTGTTTAAACTTGGGGAAATTTTTACAGGAAGTATTGCTTTTACTGAGATGTGAAGGATGATTAGGAATTTGATAAGGAAACTGCAAAGTCATAGTGTCATGGTTTGTTTTAGGACTGGCAAGTTTTTTCCCTGTAGCTGAAACAATTGAATGGAAGGTTAGAACATGACATGAAAGACCTTCTCTACTGTTTTGGAAAGTTAATGCTCAATGCTGTTGGGAATAAATAGCTCGTGTGTTCCTAAGCTAGATAAATGATTTTAAAATTATCTTTTTGGATACATCTTTCCGTTACTACAGACAATTAAATGCTAGTTAATAACATTGGGAAATGGGTAAGTGAAATGCACAGGCTTTCATCAAATCCCATTTTTAACCAACAAGTTAAACTTAACTGATTTACCTTTACCATATTAAACCTTTTAACTGTTAAGTAACTGAATCAACAACTGATCATATTAGTGTGATCACAGTTTAAAAGGAGTAAGATTTTGAGTTCTTTAGTGAATTCCACTTGAATTCACTAAAGCAGATCATAGTGAAATGATTTACCTTCTCACAGTTACTATTTTATAAAAATTCTGTCTTTTATTCGGTTCCTGATCATAAGATGAACCCAAAAAGGGGGAGCCAGGATAAAATGATAGTTGGGGAGTGGGCTGGGTTTTAATTTTCACTGATCTTAATTTTTAACTTTTCTACTCTGGTCTGAACTAATGTGGTCAAAGCTGGTTTTTCTTGTTCTCAAATATAATTTCTCTGTGCTCTACAGGTTAGACTAGATAAGTTGAACACCTGGTTTTAAAATTACCTACTGTCATACACCACTTTTGTCAGCAGCTTTAAGAAGACAAATTTTGAACCTTAAAAGCTAATTTTTATCTCTTCATTATGATCATTGCACTTCAGTGTAACATGTTTCCACTTTAAGAAAAAGCTCTAAAATTAGGTTTCCAATTATTGAATGAAGATTGAAACTTGACACAGATTTACAGATTAAATATAAATCTATTTTCAGATTAAGATATTGAACTTTTTTCTAGTTCTTTTTAATTGAAGTATAATTGGTTTACAACGTTGTGTTAATTTTTGGTGTACAGCATAGTGATCCAGTTATACATATACATATTCCTTTTCATATTCTTTTTCATTATTGGCTGTTACTAGGTTTTGAATATACTTCCCTATACTATACAGTAGGATGTTGTTTATTAGTTGTTATTTTTTAAGACTTGGGTGTATCTTTGTATCTTAAATATTTGTCAACTAAAAATCAAGAGACTTTTTTTTAACACGTTGATTGCCATTTCACCCAAACCTAGGTAACAGTTGGGTTTCCTCAGGGGCACCCAATCCACAGTGGGTGATCAACATTGAAAGACTCAAAAAGTTCTGTGCTTTCAAAGTGCTTTCCTCAGGTGACTGCCCTTGGTTCCTATGTCTCCATATTCACTAAGATCAGTAAAACACTAGGATTTCCCATTAAGAGAAAAAAATTTTCCCCAGACCCAGGTTTTTTTAAACAAAAGAATATACTAATTAGAGGTAAATAATGGAGTTGTAACTATGTATATATTTCTGAAAGACTTGGCTATTGAAATACATTGGTATTTTGTGCAGTAACTCTGGCCTTCATACCACTGTGTAGTAATATGCTTTTGGTAATTCAGTAATATCAACTCCCCTGGATATTTAAGACAAAATCTAGTTAGACCCTAATATAGAATCAGAGTATCCTGAGACTGGCTGCATAATGATAATTGTAGGAAAGAAAAAGGATAAGTTATAAAGTTTTATTCTATTGCTACATAGCACACTACCTCAAAACCCTGAGGATTAAAACTACTGTTTACTTTTTTTTTTTTTTTTTAATTCTCTGCACCGGTTGGGTAGTTCTGCTGATTTTGCCTGGATTCACTCATGTATCAGTATTCAGCTGGAGGATTTCTCAGGCTGGCAGGTCCAAGATGGTGTCACACTTCTAGTGCTTGGTGTTGGTTAAGATTTAGGCTTGCTTAATGTGATCTTTTATGACATGGGGGTCTCAAGACAGCATTCCAAGAGAGTGAAAGTGGAAGCTATAAGACTTCTTACAGCCTGGGAAATCATGTGTCACTTACACTACATTCTGTTAGAGTAAGTCTCACAAGGGTAGCCCATACTCAGGGGATGAGGAAATAAGATACCACCTCTTCCTGGGCAGACCAGCAGCATCAAAATACAAAGGGATGTGGGTATTCAGCTGGGAGGGATGCATAGCCATATTTTGTAATTCACCTCGGATTGCTTAGAACATTTTAAGAACAGACATTCTTAAAGATGTCATGATTGTGGTTTGCTTTAAAATAGAGGTTGGTAAAATCGTCATGTTGATAGTTGTTGAAGACTTGATTGGCACGTTGAGGCTCATTATTGTCTACTTTTGTGTATGTTCAAAAATTTTTCCTAGTTAAAAATTTTTTAAGACATATTCAGGTAATCTAAATTCCATTTTGTGAAGTGATTTTGACCTTATTTTCCATTTATTATTTACCAGAATAGTACTCCGTTGTTTAATGTTTACTACTTCCTTTGTGGTATGTTGATACTAGGGAGTATAAATCAGCAGTACTGCAATTTCGAAAGAGAATTATTCTTAGACATTTATAGATTTTATTGTAATGTGAGGTTAAAAAAGTGTACTTTTCATTTGCTAGTAATTGTTTCCCTTAATTAATAAAGTTAAGCCAAGTACATTAAAGAAATTTTGGAAAACTAACTATAAAGTAGAAAACAAAACCCAAATGGATATACAGTAAAATGTTAATAATGGTTATTTCTTCCTAATTTTGTATGCATATACTTATATAAGTACGGTTATAAGTTTTCTTTAATCCGCAACGGTTATCTTCCCATACGTAAATCTGAATGACTTTGGGAAGTCTTTTTACTATGTGTTAAAGACAAATTT